GATTTCCTCGGCCCCGTCTACTCGCCCTTCTCACTTACCGCAAGTACCGATGTGGTTGATTTTGTGCACTTGTAATTTTTTACACTCTGGTGGATGGTTATCTTCTGTCCGGCACCCTAGTAGTTTTGAGTTAGATATAGATAATTTTTCTTCTTCATGTAATTTTAATTTTAATTTTTTTAGTTCTTCTTTTGCATTTGATAGTCCGTTTTAGACTCCAGGTTATGCTTGATTGTTCTATAGAATAATGGGCAAGACGACCCCTTCAGGCTTCTCCTGAGAGGTTGGGTAAATCACTAGCTTAGAATTTATTGATCTTTTAGACCATGTTTATTCCTATTTAGCGTTCGACCCCAGTCGAGTCTATATCTTAAAAATAAAAATAAAAAAAATAAAAATTAATTCATAGTAAAGGTTTACATATAGATTTATATAGAAATACATAGCAAACACTCTATCTACTAACTCCATAATTTCTATGGATGCGTTGCCAAAGCAACACTAAAGGACTCTAATATGTAAACCCATAAACGAAAAACAAAAAAGAAAAATAATCATAATATAAGCCACACTACACTATAACTAAAAAAAAAATCTATCTACATCGCCTACAAAAATAAAATTAAAATTAAAATGAAATTGATAAGAAACCCCACTTATTTCCAAAGGCGTCACTGTAGCTTTGCTGTAAACCCAGATCTGAGTTATTTATATATTCTTCAGGGTTCTGTTTAATCGTGGTAGTTAGTCCTCGTGAAACGAGATGCCCTATAAAAAATTTTATCCGAATATTTCCATTATTTCTCCGTGTCTTCCGTAAAAATTCCGTGAAAATGATACATCCACGGATATCTGTCAGTGTTAGCGAGATGAAAATTTCCATGATTTAAGGCTATAAATTCCATGAAAATGATACATTCCAGAAAAAAAATGGAAAGATAAAACACGAAACAGATTTTTTACAGGGATGGTGCACAGTTCACCCTCACTATAGTGAATCCTATGGGCTGGAGATTGAAATTCGTTATAGTGAGAAATTCACTATATTGAGGGTCATTTTTTATACATAAAAAAAAATCTGTACCTGAACTTTTCTTCATTATAGCAAGTTATTCACTATATAAAAATTCGCTATAGAGTATAGAGAGGGTGAACTGTATTTCTTATCTCAAATAAATCTAAATCCCACAGAAGCTAGATCCTCGGTGGTAGTCGTCCAAAAATCCAGTTTCCAAAAATCTAGAGTAACAATCAGCATAGCAGCACTTTTTGTTAGCCCCGTAAACGGTCAAAAATTTTTTGCTGTAAGTGTACTGACTGTGACAAACGAATTCCCGCGGCAATTAAAAGGCGAGGAGACTATTGCTGCGGTCTTTATGCGTCCTCCCGTGATCGGTTAAATTTTTGCCGAAAAATTGTATATCCAGTGAAATTATTTATAAAAAATTGGTTCTGGAAATTCCGGTTCAGTATAACAAGATTTCGGCAAACAGGTTCGTTATAACCAGTGGCGACTGTATAGCTCAATTTTAGTTTTTTTTTAAACAAAATTTATAGTCTCTTTGAACTCATCCCATTTTTTTTTTTGCTATGATGAAATGAATAAATTCTCGCTTAGCAAAACTGCTTTTGATCGACTGATAGCGTCAGTATTATCGATAATTCTAGCCGGCGTTATTGTACGAGTTATCGAGTACTTTGATATTTTCTATTTTAGCAACGTGATAGTTCTGTTTTTATTTTTGTGATACGATCATAATCTCCAAAAAAGATCCTGATAGTGATAGTTAACTTTTGGTATCTAAATATATTATCCCAAGAAACGTACAAAGGACATGCATATGTTATAATAGGATTAAATTTTTAATGCAAGGCGTAGCAACGCAATATTGATGATTCGCATCGAACGTGCGAATTTACACAGACATCTAATGCGGCAGAGATATGGATATGCAATTGGGATACTGATTTTTTTTTATTTTTAATGATAACAAGATTACAACTAAATATAATAAAAAAAAAAAGTGGGAATAATTCAAATCGGTACAATTGCAAATTTTTTCATATTATATACCGTATTGGTTAAGCATTCTTTACAAGTCCTTCTTTTCTGCTTACACAGATTTTTTTTAATTTACTAATTTAGAATTTTCAATAAAAAATCAATAACAAGAAACAGTCAAACAGAATGTTCGATTAGGCCACATCGGAAAAAATTTTTTCCATTGATGCTAGTTTTATTGCAGAATCCGAGTTATTACACAATGTGTAACTAAAAGTTGATTCGTGCAGGAATTTTTTTTAGTTTCAGCCGCATAAAATTCTATTAAAATATAATAGTTTATCATATTAGCTATTTTTGATCTTTCAAAGAGAAAAAGATTCGTTCTATGAACTTTTACAATATATTTTGCAATATGCATGCAATCTGGTTACACGAACCTTAACGGTTGAATGACAATATCTCAAAATTTTTTATTGTGACTTACCTTTTCTGTCGCCGCAGCTATTAAAAATTTTTTAATGTATATAAATATATACAGTATATATATATATATGTGGTGTGTATACGTTTGATACAAATAAAAATAATAAATATCATTAAATTTTCCTACAGATTCATATTCATAAAAAAAAAAGGTCAATATTTTAAAAACAAGAACTTTATTATTGATACTTTTAATTGAAAAATGATTAAATGTTATAGTAAGTTAATCAGAGGAGATATTTGTTATATTAATCAAATCTAAAATTTTTTGTATAATTTTATAAAAACAATGATCAATAAATCTTATTAAATTGATAATCGATAATTTTATTCGTATTAAAAATTCAATGATTATAAATAGATTAACTTAAAAAAGATTTTAGATATTTTTTTTTTTAGGACAGATTTTCAAATTTTAGAATTCTGTTGTATCACACGAATTAATAAGCCTTTATTACGAAAACGAGAAATGAATTCATTCGTAACAATGTTCTTGTCCTGACATTACGGTACAAATTATTTGGTTATACAAAATGATGGCTACACAAGTTTTGAATGTTTTTCCTTATTTAAAGATAAGATTTTACATTTTTGTAAAAACAAATAAAGTTAAATAAATAAATAAATAAATTAATTTCAAAAAAAAAAATAAATAATTTTGATTTCCTTTTTTCCTTTTTTTTTCTAATAAAAAAAAAATTATAATTAAAAAGATGTCGTTATCTGTTGAGCCAACTGAAAATAATCGGAGAAGGCCATCGACTGATAAGGATAGGCGTAATAGATGGAGTTACTTTAGTAATAGAGAGGATACAATTTTTAAATTATCAGATAATGAAAATGATATTATTCTTTCCAAAAAGGAACGTTATCAAATCGCGATTTGTCAAGATGGTAAATTTGCTGTAACATTTGATACAGGTAAAATTCATTTAAAAATTTAAAAATTTATGTAATGTTTATCGAAAAATTATAATACTAAAATAAGCTCCTTTTTTTTAAAAAAAAAAAGCGAACCTTTGGATTAAAGTATTAGAAAATACAGATCATCGTCAATTCAGATTATCTAAAGAAAAGACTACTTCAGCACAACACAATTCAAACAATCAGAACGATGATAAAGAAGAAATTACTAAAACAATCGCTCGTTTCAAAATAAACGAAAATTTAGAAATTGACAAATTTGACAAAGGTGACAAATCCCTTATTCGAGAAACTAACAGTAGCGCTAATAATAGTAATGATACGGATAACATGTATAGATGGAGTTTAGATATATCAAATGTACAAAATTATCAAGATAAATATTTTATCTTTGTTGCTGTATCTCGCATAGATGTTAATGAGGATATGAAAGGAAAAGATACAAAGTCTGATTATAAGAAAAACATAATAAAAAGAAGATTTCCAAATTCAGACGTTAGAATTGCTTTACCAGGATCGTATAGTAATAAATCAAATGAAAATAAGAAAGGAACAGCAATTTACCGTCTTAAACTGAATAAGGACAATAATAATAACTTTGATTTTAAGGAAATATCTCCCGTAACTTATTGTTATTCTGATAGTGTTTCCGGAATATGTAAATTTATACAAAATTTAGACGATATCGATCAAAATGATTACACTTTTAAAAGATTTATCGTATTGAACTTTAACGGAATATATAATTTTGAGTATAATTTCGAGTATAGAAGTTTTGATTTAAAAACGAGATTTGATTACCCGAAAAGTATTGAAAATGAACTAAAACATTGGCATAAAGAAAATCTAGAAGAAGACTGTATGAATAAACTTCTTACGTGTCTTTATAATCAATATTTCTTGGTCGAACATTATAAGAATAACGTACAGATGCTTGAAGGTAATTAATATCATTTATTTTATTATAATATTCATTGTGAATTATCATTTAACAAAAATTATAGTTTATGATTTAGCGGACATGAGCTTAAAAACTACCCCAAAAAGAGTCGAAAGAAAAGATAAACGTATTAGAAATTTTAATTACAATACTTTTTCAGTTAGTAAACTACAAATTTGTTTTACTCGGGGACTTAATTCTATTAAGTAAGTTTATTTTCAATTTTTCGATTTTGTCATTTTATTATTTATTTATTTATTTATCTTTTTCATTCGATTTTAATTATCCATTAGGTTATACTTTATGGAGAATGGTCTGGAGGTCGTATCAAAAAAATTTGATGAATTTGAAAAAATTTATTCACTAGAATTCATTGATAGTGATGAAAAATTACTTATAATAGGCGAAAAAAAGAGTCAGGTGAAACTTGTGATCTGGGATATCTATAATACTGTAAAGGCCGAAACGATAACGTTAGAAAATTTTTCTATCGTAGAACTTAGTAATCGTTTGGCTAGAACTTCAGGAAATATTTTACAAGTTGATGAAGAAGGAAGGGTTACATCAGTTCTTAAAAAAATCGATAAATTAAAACAAAATACATCAGAAGAAGAAAAAGAAAATTTTAAAAAATATACAAATAAGAAGGATGGAAATCATACGATACATTATGATAAAGAATTTGTTCCGATAGTTATTGATAAAGAACCTTGGGTGATAGATGAGTATGAAAGAAATTCTTATTGTCTTAATCAAAAGAAAGAAGGAGAAAGAATACAAACTTTGCAGCTTATAGTTGGTAGATCCACGGTTCAAATTTGGCATCAAATCCGTGATGATAGTAAATCTAAGGATGAACTTTCTAAACTCCCAAACAAAGGAGGACCGTTTCTTGAATATATATGGGCGAATGGTATTCCGGTAAATCAAGAAAGGAGAGCAACAAGATTAAGAATTGAAGAGTTTAAATATAAACCAAATGATGGATCAAGTCATATATTAGATGATTTTTATTTGAAAGTTTATTGGTACGAAAGAGCTTCGAGTGATAAAGAGAAAACAGAAGAAGAAATTAGAGATATGGAGGATAAAGAAATAGAAAAAATGGAACTTAATAGAAAAGCGGGAAAGGAAATGGAAAAGGATGGAATTATGGAAATGAAAGAAAAAGTAATTCAAAAGAAAGATATTATTGAAAAAGTTAATGCGGTAAGACGCGCTTGTAGAGCATTGGAACATCTTAATAAGCGCAGAAGGTTTCTTGTGACTAATTACATTAAAATACATCAAGTAGGTTACCGATTATAATTTTATTTATTCATTATTTAAGCTTTTTTTGAAAAAATAGAAAATAATTAAATTTCTTTTTAACTAAAAGTATGAAGAAATGATAATATATATTCAACATATAGTATGGAGGTTTGCTAAATGCAAACCTGAAGAATTTAAATTATTAGATGTTCGACATAATGTCATGAAAAAATTAATTCTTGGTGATTGCAATTATTTGATAAAACTTATATTATTTGGAGACAAAAGTAATAACGATAAAGATAATGGAAATGAAAAAAAAGAGGAATTCATAATCAGACATATACCAAGGAGTGTGTCTTGGCCAGGAAAAAATTTCATAAAAGATGATGACCTTGAAGATAATGAAATGCCAGAAAGTGATATGGAATTAGCAATTTATCGTTTCAAAGGTAATTTGACCTTATGACGTTGTTTATATCGTTGATCAATAACTTGATTTTATATTTATAGGTCGTGAACTTAAAGATACTGTTGTTGTTGCTTATTTTTTGGAATATTATTCTAGTCATGCAACAGATTATGCTGGTTGGATGAGTACTGTGTCTAAGGCATTACCTTTATTATTTAAATATAACTACGGTTTGTTTTCTTTTCATTTCTAATTTTTATTTTTCAAAAGGAATTATGATATTTATTTACAATATTTATTATATACATATAGATGATTATGCTAGAAAGCTATTTCGTAAGGAATGTTTTGCAAATCAAGATTACTTTTCAGCACAAGATCCTTATGATATTATTCCAGTAGAATATCAAGCGAAACGTAACCATAACATTAAATTTAGGGCATTTAGAATAGACAAATTGCAATCTGACGAATATGAATGGTACAATAGAATTACTAGGAAATTATTTAATCCTTTTAAAAAAATGCGCAAAATCATTGAAGATTTTGATAATTACCTTGAGAAGTCGCCATTAGCTTTAAGAGTTGTTCCTCTTCCTGAATTTACCATTGCACAGAAAAATGTAGAACAAAATTATAGATTAAAAATTGCTTTAAAGATTTTTTTGTTCTTATTTATACCACGATGGTACAAAATTAGTCGAGATAAAAAGAACCTGTTAAGCCCTTTTTCTAGGGTGGTACGATACGAGAATAATGATGATATGTATGATAATCCAGCAACTGAAGCGGTTATTGATTTTCGTTGGCAGAAAGCGAGAAATTTCTTTTTCTTTCTTTTTCTCCGATTTCTTGTTTTTGCCTTTTGTTTCATATTTATCAGTTGGAAATATTTGAATCATGATGTTATAAGTTGGAAATTACGAAATTTTTTATTTGCATTAATTCTCATATTTTATTATTTAGCAACATATTTACTCGCTACTGAATTAATACAGTTATATTTTCATGGGCCTAGAAAATATTTTGGTGATATATTTAATAGTTTTGACATATGTTCCATTTTACTTTCCATGATAGTAATGTCAATAATGCTTCAACATTTTAAACTTTCTGATGGCTTTGCAAGTGTCGAATCAGTTGATGTGGGATTGATGGTGGGGATATCATTCTCGACTTTTTTTCTCTGGATCGAATTTGTAGGTTTTATTTTACAATTTTTGTTTTTTTGCATATCATTAATATTGACAGATTATTTATAATAATATAGGTATTATATCTCCGCTTAGTATCAAGTAAATATCAAATTTAACTTTATTTTTAAAAGAATTCATGATCAAATTAATAATTAATTATTTTTTAATTTTTAATTTTTTTTAATCGATTAGAAATAGCCATATATATTTATTTTGTTATATATATCATCAAAAACATTTTTCCATTTATTTTGTTTATGTTCATTGTAATAATGGGATTTGCGCACACAATGTATAATCATTTTTAATTTTTTTTTTTTTTAATTTTTAATATATTTAGTTTATTTTATTTAATTCAATTTTTTTTTTATTTATATCTAGGTTTATTTTACTTAAGAACCCTAATGATCCCGAAATTAAAGTAAAATCAGATACATTAAGTGGAACTGCTAAAAATATAAATAATGAAACATTATTTGATATTACGCTTGAATCTAAATATGATGTTGTAGACAAGAATGATAATCCATTTTCATCCTTTTCTGCGGCAATAATAGCCGCATATTTTTGGTTGAATGGTGATATGGTACAAAGAGATCGTTTTGATTTTTGGGTTATTGATTTATTTACCTTAATTGCTAGTATTTTTATTGTAACTGTTTTACAAAATATGTTGATTGCTTTCATGGGGTAAGTTATTATTAACGATATTATTAATAATTTTAAATGCGATTTTATTTAATATTATATATTTGTTTTATTTTAGTGGAGTGTATGAAAGAGCAGAAACTAAGGGTAGACAAGCATTATTAAGATTTAGAGCGAATCAAATAGCAGATTATGAAGCATTAGAACATTTTCATTTTTGGCCTCCTGAACCAGAACCAAAATATATTTATTATATTGGTCAATCTAAAAATTTTCAAGAATGGTATCAAAAGAGAAAAGATGACCAAGGTGAAATTTATAATGATTTTGAAGAAAAACCTACAAATATTATAACTCAAGCTTTTAAAGATGTTGATTATGATGAAACTTCAATTTGGCAATTCGATGATGATAATTCATCTGATACCAAAAGTAAAAAGAGGGAATGTTCTACTGATTATACTATAGAGTTACCGGAAATAAAGGAAGAAACTATTCTATCAAATTCTTTAGAAAATTGTCAAGAAATTTTTTTAGAAAAAATGAATGAAACTTCAAATGGGAAATTCGATGATGATAATTCATCTAATACCAAAAGTGAAAATATGGAAGGTTCTACTGATTCTACTATAACGTTACCGAAAATAGAGGAAGAAACTATTAAATCAAATTCCTTAGAAAATTCTCAAGAAATTTTTTTAGAAAAAATTAATGAAAAAATTAATGAAATGAAAAAGATAAATGATGAAATGAAAAAAGTAAATGATGATATTCAAAATTTATTTAATGAAATGTATACTAAATTTAATAATAAACCTCAAAACTTTTGAACGGTATAATTTTGTAATATTGGTAATGTGTAACATAAAATAGATATCTTCTTTAACGTTTCTATGATAGAAAGAATTAGTATTTAATTTTTCTAAAGAAAAAAGTAAAAAATAATTTAATTACGTTTTATTTTTTTTTTATTTATACTTTAGTTTGAACATTATTTCATTTATTTATATTCAAAGAAATTTTTTTTGGTATCAATTTAAATAAAATAATCAAAATAATCATTTGATACCTATCGACTATCGATCTCTTTTTTTATCCGGTTAAAAAATATCCGATTAAAACTACCCGGAATCCAGATAAAAAAAATTTTGTCTCTTTAATAAGATGGATTTATCACACTTGATGAAAAAACAACCAAACTAAAATATCTGTTTTCTCTTAAATTACGCACGTACATTGGTTTTTTATGGATAAAATTAAAATTCCATTTTTTTCCTTAGTAATATAAACATACTCTGACGAATATTTTAAAATTGTGAACAAAACACGCTTTAAACGTTTTAAACATTTAGTAATATTTTATGCAATGATCATGGCAAAATAGATGATAGATCCTTTTTTAATCGTTCAAATTATTGATTTAAAGTAACCAGTTAAAAATATATAACCAAAATAAGAACACTTTGCAAAATCGAACATTTTTAAAGAGCCGTTCTATGATCATATCCTGAGGTATATTTTTTTTTAAAAAAAAGAATAAACATGTATAGATTATTTCATCGAAGAGACCATTAAAAATATTTTTATTTATTTCGAAAATGATTTATTAAATTTATTAAAATATTTTATATAAATATTATAATAATCTAGAAAACAATATTTAATAGTTTATTGTTCAGTTGATTAGGAATATGCGGGATTTCACTGACCGATATTTTTATGAGACATCTAATATTGAAATCAGTATTAGTAGCATTTAATTCCTAATGACCGAACTATAAACTCAGTTATTGGATGGGGATATCAGTCTTCGACCGACATCTCTATTCCCTCTATTCCCCCATCCAATATAACTATTTATTAATAATATAATAATATTTTTATAAATAAATTTAAACTAAATATACGTTTAACTCTTCTGAGTCCCGACGACCCGCCTCCTTTACAAAAAATTCAATTTTTTTTCATTTATTCATTATTAAGTATTTATTTTATTAATCATTTTACAAATTTTAAATAAAAACTACTTATAAATAAACTGTACATATAATTTTTTAACAACCGTACACTGCAAGATCACCGCCTTCTGATTTTGTAATCTCCAAACCCACACACTCCCAACCAACATACCTAAAGAAAAGAGGCCTAAGAGAAGACTTCCTGACGTTTTTGAATGGTATGGGAGTTCTCAGCAACAACGAAAGAGTGCATCACAATTAGACCTAAATGAATGAAGACAGAAAAAAAAAATATTTTAAACAACACGCCCAACCCACACCCAAACCCACCCAAACCCCAAACACCCACACCACGCAAACCCACACTCCCAACCCACGCCC